AAGCAGGAGAAAGTGGGCTTATAATGGAAGCCAAGGCACCGGAGTTTCAAAGAGCTGCTCAACAGGGTCACACTGTGTAGCAAGATCAAGCCACACATTGGATTTGGCAATTCGGGGAACACTTCTACTTTTTCATACGACATTGGCTACTTAGCAAGATTTTCTAAACGGAGATAACCAGACACAGATTAGAACATACATCAAAGATGTTGGGAAGATTTTTATAGGATGGTTCCCTGCTCATGCCAATTACAAAAAGTGACATTTTATCATGTCATAGACGTTGATTTCTCATAGTAATAGATTTGGGCCCAGCGCGTGAATACATCAGATATAGAAACACAAAATTCAGTGAGCATATGATCTTATTCTGTGTTAGGAAAGAAGGCTCTGGAATGACCCTGTAGGGCATACAATCCCAGGTGTCCAGGCAGTTGCTATCTAAAGAGATGTTCTACTCAGTTTTTAACTGTGACCACAAGAATTAATAAGATAAAATACGCTTACCCCATGTTAATTTACAGTTCAGTTCAAGACATAAAGTCTTTATTTCTAATGCTCAAACATTTGATTTTTATGCATATGATAGTATTTAATAACAGAAACCAGATCTAGTACAGATGTAAAAATAGGCCACAATTCCAAGTTTTTAGTAGCTATCTTAAGACGGGAAAACAACACTCGGTAAAATATTTAGTCTAACAATTCTTAATATTATGGTTTGGAAGAGGAAGTATTGGCCAAGTAGTTTTATATGAATACTTTAGAAATTTTTAGATTTAAAAAAAAAAAAAATTCTAAATCTAAGAGACCTTGAACAAAACTAGGTTTCTCTAACCAGAGAACAGAGAAATACAGTATTTGAGATTAAAAACCAGTAAATCACGTAAGAACTTAAACATTAATGATTAGGGACCATTCATGAGATATTAGGCACAACCATAGCACTCACGTCTTTAAGTGCTACATTACTCAGATCTAGCTGGTGGGCTTTTACTTTTCCTGGATGGATTTTAACTAAATAGACTTTAGACATTTAGATATAGATAAATGCCTAATTCAGTAATTAGTACTTTAAAACTGTGAAACCTTTTAAGTTAAGTGGTCTATTAATTAACTACCAATTATCTTGTCTGACTACCATATCAATAGAAGTAAATTACCGACTAGCTATTTGACAGATTTAGTCCTTTACCATGCAAAATTTCTTCAGAACATAAAAGGCCTGGAGTTAAATGCTTTTGCTTCCCCCTTTTGGTTAATCAGGGATCAATTTGCTGCTCATGTATCAAGGCCAAATTCAGCTCTTTGGTCAAAAAGGATCTACAGATAAACTTTGTCTTTTGGAAACGGCAAGCTAAGATTCCACTCCTCTTAAAAAATAACAAGTGAAGCAATATTAATGTTTTGGGAAAAACATGGGTTTGCAGTTCCTGTATGGGGGCCAACTTTCCCTATTTCAAAGGAGACTAGAGAGGTATTTTCAAGCTTTTACGTCTCACTGAGATACAGAGAGAGCCTAAGCGAGTGGTTTTATGACTATGCCAAAGTTCAAGAGCATTGTATTGCACACATGCCTCATGGTCTTGTCCTAAGCGTGAATGTTGCACAACAGATTATGCTGACTAGAACTTACCCCAAATCTATCACTTCTTGACTGGTGATCAAAAGGAAGTTCCTAGGAGAGCTGTGGTGGTAGAAGAACACTGGAAGATGAAGTGTCATAGCAGAACGGAGGGCTGTGCAGAATAATGTCAAGTATTGTAAAAACTTCCAACATGTATGGAAATAATACAAGGTTAGGAAGCAAGGAAGGAACTGCAATACGAATCCTGTCCTTGAGCCCAGCCATTGGGAAATAGGATTGGTGGCCATACATCCAATTTGAGCTTGATTCAACTTGGTATATCAATACTAGCCTTCTCCAAGTTGCTAGCCTTGTACCAATGAGCAGAGTTTATACACTATAGTAAAAATAAGCATACAGGTTGGGCAGGGAGAATGGAAAAGTTGCATAAGAAAACAAAAGCAGATACAAACAATAATGAATATGAGCCAGGCCCATTTTGAAATCTCATCAATCTTACATAGCTTGAATTAGTCCAACATACTGCTTACCTTTTGAAACTTCAGATGACAGACCCATGTGAGCATTCTCTGAATAGATTATCTTCTAAATATTTAAGCAGAAGCCTAGCCTATATCATCAAACATTTATTGAGTGACTGATGAGTAGAGTTCTGTTCCAGGCAGGAGAAAACAAATAGATGTATATAACAAGCTGCCTTCAGACAGCTTGCCATCTACTTGGGGATTTCAGGGTACAATGTGTAAAAAGTTACAGCAAACAGCACATACTATGCACCAAAGGATGAGAGTGACAACAAATGCTGCATGAAATTAATGGAAAGAAGAGAAAAAGCCTTAGACAAGTCATTTAACTGCAGCTTCATCAGAAAACAAGAGATTGGACAAGATGATCTCTAAGGATCCTTATAGCTCTAATATGCAAAAAACCAGAAAAGGGCTGGAGTGGGGAGGAAAGGTTATATTAATAATTTGAGCTAGGCCTTCAAAGGTATATGGAGTGGAGGAAGAGCACTTTTCAGGCAGAAGGGATAGTATAAGGAATGATTTGGAAGTAGGAGCACCCACAGCTTTTCAGCGGAAGTCCACATGGTCTTCTATTTCACTGCATACGACTCTTAGCTCTGGGTCAGGACCAATACACTATTTATTATTTTATGAAAACATATCACCTGCTACTTAGAAGTCTGGCCAAGATGATCTGTTCAAATGACTGAACAAGTCTTTGCTCAGCTGATCTACTTTTTAAAATGTATGGGGCAATTTCTTTCCCCCACCTACATACAGTAACAAGACACACTGGTTATTTTTTCCGAAGGAAAATAGCACATGACAATACGTATTTGAACAGTTACCACAAACATTTTTCCCTAAGGGGACTACTGAAAGGGAAGTTGAATTCAGGTGGTCTTACACCATTTAAACCAACCCCCTCCAAAAAAAAAAAAAAATCACTGTAAAAATTATAGTAAGTCTTCTTTTAAATTTTAGTTGCTAGATCTCAACTTCTTAAAAGGTTTATAAGCCTCGGCAAGAAGTCAGAAATTCCAACTCTAAAACGAATTTTCTGACTCAATATTGAAAATAAATTCTTAAGTTTAGATGCTTAGAGGAAAAACAGCTGGAGAATTCAGGAGCCTCCCATATTTTAATAAGAAGTGACGTCATTACTGTCGAGGCTTCCAAGAACTCCCTAAATTGTGTAGTTAAGCAACATCTCAAGGCAAAGTAAGGACTCTGGGAAGGTGGTATGTTCTTCCTTGGTATATAGATTCAGTTCCACGATAATTTTTCCGTTGGAAATTTGATTTAGTTTTCTCCTTAGGTTAGAAAGTAGCCTAATGTTAGAGGTGCAGTATATCAATTGACGTGCGTTTTCAAAGCTAAATAAAATATCTGTTTCAGGATGACAAGTTGACCAAAACGAAATGGAGTTTCTATGGCAGCTTCATCCTTACCATTCTTCAAACATAAAAACTACAGTCCACCTGCAATTTACCTACGTCTTTTATTTTAAATAGTGGTTATTTGTTTTACTCAGAATTATAAACACACAAGATTCTTGATAAACCATATTGCCAAGTTTATCCAGTTGTCCTGGCCTTTACTCACCTGATCCACCCTTTGTCACCTGCCACCTGTTCTTATGCACACCATGGCAGCAAGGACTTGTATTGTTCCCCCACCCCACCTCACACAACACACACACCAGCACACTTAAATTCCCCCAAACTTTATTTGGTAATCTTCTTACTCATTTAAAACATAGATATGTGTTAGCTCATGTCATTTATATGCTCGTTTCTAGAGGTTTGGAAATGAGTTAAATAAAGCTCATGTTTAAAAACAAAACAAAAATAAGCTTCTTCCAGGATCAGAGAAATGGTCTGATGTTCACGGAGCAACATTTGAATAAGCACTTCTAAAGCCAGATTAAGTTTTTAAGCAGTTGCTAAAAAATTAATGAGGTTTAATGTGACCTATTTAGCAGAAACAATTCTTTGTTGTGTTCTATTAGAAGGTTAATTTGCCTATGGAAAAAAACCGAAAGCCTATCTCCCTACCCTTTCTTTATTGGATCTTACCTGTCTACAAAAGTAAAGGGGAGATACGATGGCGGGGGAAAAGCACCAAGTGGGTCCACAGTGTACAGTTATAGGGGAGAGCTGCACACCTACCATTTCTGAAGATAAGTTTGGTTGAAAAACTGGTTAGTTTTGTCCCCAGGGCAGTAGAAGGCCCTCTGCTCTCATCCTTAGATGCTGTACTAGCTCTGACCGTTAGAAGCTGATATGTCCCTGTCCCCTATATAGTGACTCTGTGGTCCTATCAGGGTGACCTAAGACAGGTCTGTTCTCCTAAGAGAGGCACCTTCTAAGCTGAGAAAGTTCTGAGATAACTCCAACAAGACAATGCCACAGACCCTGTGGACAGTCAATGGATGTTAAGTGACTGCCAGGGTGGCCTGACCACTCCCAATGGACCACAAATGCTGATCTCAGAATCTCTGGCACTTTCCAAAATGTGACTGAGCAGTAATTTAGAAGCCTAAACTCTGACTTTAGGAATTCATAAGAACAACCAATGTTTTACAAACTCAACAGAAACTAAAATAAACAAATCCAGGGTTTTATGCTCCCTCTTGTTATTTTTATGGCAATCTTTCAAACTAGTTCAAAATGTTCAGTCCCCTACCCTCTCAAGAAATACTGAATTGGGGGAAAAAACAGAAAACAACTATTTAATAGTAACCGGCACACACTGTAATTCACCATGGGGGAACAGCGAGTTAGAAGGAAGCTTTGTGGTAAAAGAGGGCAGGTGACTTTCAGGCTGGTCCTGAAGTCTCCCTCCTTCCCAACCTTCTCATTGAAGAGGTCCCGGTAATAAAAAACAAGGATGTTTATATTTACCCAGAAGTGTGCGTGGCAATTAACCATCATGGTTCTCTCAATGAGCTCATCAGGACATTCTAGAAGGTGATGCCCAGAGACCACGCCGGCATTATTGACGAGGACGGAGACCTCGCCAACCTCCTTGCGGACCCTCTCGGCCGTCAGGTAGACATTCTCCCGCTTTCCCACATCACAGGTATAGGTAAAAACCTGCAAGTTACAGTGGGGCAGAATTTCTTCCTCACCATTCCCAGCTGTCCTCAGAAGTCCGGAGGAAGGGAAAAAAATGGGACAGAGAAAGGGGAGGTGGTGCAAAATGTGAGTCAGAAGGCAATCAGGACAAAGATCACACAAAACAAAAATACTACAGTGAGCTTCAAATTTCTAACATGGTAAGGCTTGCCAATGACTGAACTTACAGCTGCCTCCCTCCCCTCCAAAGTCTTTGGGAATTACAGCAATTTACTGGATAACTTTGCTTAGGGGAAAATCATGTAATTGTGACAAGCCCAATACAAGTCAGACCTCATGGGATCAGTTTCCTGGAGCTAGAGACACCTGGAAAGAACTGATCTCAGCCCAGAGAGTAACACCCCCTCCTCCAAAACACACACACTCCACACTCCTCTTTTTGGGGGGAACCGTGGTCAGAAGCTGCTCTTACTCTTTCGTATGAGCACCCTCAAAAGGGAAATGCTCCTCAAGGCTCACAAATCAAAACCGGAATTAATAATCTGAATTCATCCAAAGCCAAGAAATGAGCCCAAAGTTCCTCATGAAAAAGTGGAGGTCACTGGTTTGTTCTAACTGGAGTAGCTGAACTCCCCTAAGAAGCACCCACATGTAAATCACGTTCACAGGTAAATATACAATTGCACCACATAAGACCAAAATTTAAAAACCGAAGTCTCTTCCCTGGTTTTCAAATACCTTTATTATTTTGGTTTTGGCAGGGAGCACAAAAATCTGTATTTGCTACCCCTCCATACCACTGTTGAAATTGTAACATGTTTGACCTTTGATTTTCTGACCTAAAAGGCAGGTGCCAATAGCTTTGGTGACAAATGATCAATATGGGGAGGGGTGGTGCCCATTATTATCTTCTCGATATAGTTCAATGTTTTCCCTGGAAATGAGGAATTTTGTCAAAACGCAAGAGCCATTATCAAATTTCCTGGACCAAATTTACGGTTGGTTACAGTCTCTGCTTTGGCCTTTAAAAAAAAAAAACACCTCTCAGATTCAGGTTAGTTAATAAATATACAGAAATGCAGATTTCCTGAGGTTATCAAAAGAGTGGAATAAATTTCCAATACGGCTTAAATCCTTCAAGCGCCTTCCCTTAACAGGCAGGGCATCTTTCAATCAGGCTAGTAAGTAACCTAACAACTTACTTATCGCTAGTGAAACAATGTAATTATTTTCTCGCAGCTGAAGTTATAGTGAAATCATCAATGCTCCCTAGTCTAAGCGGTTCAGGCCACAGTAACACATAGACACGCATCAGTCGAGTCTGAGAACAACTTCCCAAAGACACTTGAATTCCCCATCGCAAACGCGAGTGAGGCATTTCTTTAGGATTCAGACCAGTGCTAACAAGTTCCCTCTGCCTTCCCTATCCTGAGAGTTTAGGAAATCAGACATTCGTCCCCAAAGAGACAGGAGCTCCGTTTAGACAGGGGTTTGGCACACTTTCTCCTTTCTAACACAGAGGTGACCATGTTCCTTCACCACGGGGCAAATTCCACCCGCAGAAGCCCGGAGAGTGGGGGCGGGGGGCGTGTTCCCTTCCTCGAGAGCCGGGCTGACCGTGACAGCGGGGTTTCGGGGCCCTCGGGGGCAGGGCGCGGGGGTGGGGGGGCTTGACCCAACAATGCCCGGGCGCAGCTCCGAGTTACCTTGCAGCGCCGCGGCGTCGGCCGCCTCCAGGTCGCGGTAGATGTGGCGCACCATGCCCGCCGTCTCCTCGTTGCTCTGAGTGTTGATGTCCCAGAGCACCAGCAGCGCCCGGCGCCGGGCGAACTCGAGCGCGAAGAGGCGGCCCAGGCCGCTGCCGGCGCCGGTGATGAGGCACACCTGGCCGGCCACGCTCTTCTCCTTGGGCCGCACCAGCCAGCGCGCCGCGGCCAGCACGAACGCCCAGAGCACTTTGAAAGTGACCACGAAGAACTCCACCACGATGTTCATCGCGACGCCGCGAACCCCGCACGAGCCCGGCTCCCGGCCCGGGCGCTCGTCAGAGCGGCCCGG